CTGCTGCTGGTCGGACCACCTCTGCTGTCCCCCAAAGCCCTGCTGTTGCTGATGCTGTTGCTGTTGCTGATGCTGTTGCTGTTGCTGCTGTGGCATCTGCGCAAACCCGCCGGGCCGCGGCGGTGCCTGCATTTGATGTGCGAGCGGATGCGCATACATTCCCTGCGATTGCTGCTGCTGCTGCTGCATGTGCTGCGCAAACGGATGGCTCTGCGGTTCGGGGCTGCGCTCGTGCGCATACCCATCCAGTCCGAGCCCGCCGCTCGCCTCCAACGCTGCCGCCTTGTCGCCACACTCCTTCTCGACGCGCCAGTGCCTGCGCAGCGCATCGCTACGCGGGAAGCCCTTGCCGCAGATCTCGCACACGTACGGCTTGTCGCCCGAATGCACGCGGCTGTGGCGCTCGAGGTCGTGTTTGCGCGAAAACGCGCGCGGGCACACGGCGCACGCAAACGGCTTGAGCTGCGAGTGCGAGCGCAGATGCGCCTTGAGGTTGTACGAGCGGTTCTTGGCGAACGTCTTGTTGCAATTCGGATACGGGCACTTGGCAATTCCGTCGACGTCGATGCGCGCATCCATGGCGTCGCCAAGCGCATTGATCATGTCGTTGGCGTGTGCATTCATGCCGTGCTGGTGCGGCAGGAAGCCGGACGACGACTGGTGCATGCCGTAGCTATACGAGCGCGACGGCGGCATCATGCCGCCCGACTGCATCGGCATGCCGTTGGCGTCGGTCATCGCATGTACTCCGCGAGTGCCAAAGCCACCATCTGCACTCATGCCAGAGCCGCCGGCATCGGGGAAGCCAGACTGCCAGTCGGACTCGCCTGGCATCGCCTGGCCGTGCTGCCAGCTCATCAGGCGCGCGCGTCCGATGTTCTGGCTGGGCACCACCGGATCGCGACCCGAGCGCGCAGGCGTGCCGCTGCCGCCTGTCGAGAGGCGGCGGAGCTCGGGGTTGAAGCCGGGCGGCGAAAAGCCGGCGGACGCCGCCATGTTGTTGAAGCTGCGCTGCGGCTGCAAACCTGGCCTGCCGCGGCCGTAGGGCGAGTTGGTGGCCGAGAGCGCATCACGCGACCTCTGCAAGCCGTGGCGCGAAGGCCCTGCTTGCGACTCGTACATGCTGTCGGCGTCGAGCGGGAGTCGTTGGGGCTGCAGCGACACTTGCGGCTGCATGTGCTCTGCCGCTGGGCCGGGATGGAGCACGGAGGGCGGCGGAGCGCCATCTGCAAGACCTGCTGATGGCGAGGCATGCATGTTTGACAGACCCGTCGCGTTCGAGCCCGCCAGGAGCGCCTCATCATTGGTGAATACAAAGGAGCCGTCGGGCCGCGGCGCCGCCAGATCCAAGGTGTTTCTGTACGCTGGGATATGCAGGTCGGCGGTACGGGGTTGCGAGTCGAGCTTGCTGCTGCCGTCTTGCGCAAAGTCATCGTCTGGGTATGTAAAGGCGGACGATGTCGTGACGTCGCCCGCGTCGACGCCGAGGCCTGTGGACCAGAGGCCGTACTCGGTGGCGCCGTCCAAGATGGGCGTGCCGTCTTCTGCGAAAGTAAAGCCAGGGATGTCGGCGCCGTAGTCGGATGCCTCGAAGACGTTCAAGCGTGTGTGAACCGACTGTGGAGAACAGAGATGTGTCAGCGAAGATCAGTCACTTGGACGGGCCATTGCGGATGCTGTGCGCGTCCTGAGCGCGTGTGTGCGGCAGTCGTCCAGCTGATGCGAGAGAAAGAGGCGACTTACGTATTCGTATTCTGGCGCTTCGTCGAGGAGGGAAGCTGGAAGAACAGGGAAGGAGAGCGGCTCGGAGGAGAGATCCAAGGTGTTGAGATCTGCCGTCGAGCCTGAACCAAAGATGGGAGCGAAGGCGGCAGCGGCGAGGTCGGCGCTAAAGTCTGTAGCGACGAAGGAGGGACCTTCTGGAGGACAGGATGCCGAGACGTCGCCGAGCGCTGATGCACCATAGGCGCCCATGACCGAGTCAAAGGCGCGCGAGGTTGGATGTGAGGTGGCTGAGATGGTCGAGTAGAGCGTGTTGGGATCCGAAGTGGACGACGAGGGCCCCAGGCTGGAAGCGTGAGGCAGGGATGCGGCGGCCGAGTCGGACGACGACGGTGGCAACGACGACATGGCGGTGGCGGGTGTTGTTGCGGCTAGCGCGAGCGTTGAGGACGATGAGGGATGGGAGCTGGGCGAGGTGGAGAAGGGTGTGTGTCCGAGACTGGATACAGCAGGAGTAGATGGGGCTAGCGCTCTGGCCGGGTCGGCATACTGGTACCGGAAGGGCTCGTTTGACATGCCGGACTGCGAAAAATGACTGCGCGGGTTGGTGAGCACGGAGGTCATTGCTGTGATTCGAGGCAGCTGGGACGAGCAAGCTTGTCACGCCAAAGACCGAGGCGAGAGGTGCGCAGCCGGGCCGAAGGGAGACGAGGGCGCGGCAATGACGAGAGGGCCGTGATAGACGTAGCAACGCTCGGATGCGCCTAAGCTGGCTGGATCCAGTATCTCGCACACGGGCGGGGGCGGGGGCGACTGAGCACAATGCGGTGCGTCCGTAGCTTTCGGAGTGTTCCGCGGTCGTCTATGGGTTGTAGGTGACTTTACAGAGAGTGATGCGTGAGCCGAACGAGGAATCGGAGGAGGATCCGACGGTGACGAGACGTGAGGTCGGAGGTGCTGGCAGGCCAAGGCTGTGTTTGCGTGTGATGAAGAGGTTGTGCGAGCAGCTGTGCGCGATCAATGTCGGGCAGGATGGGGCCAATGTTGCTGGACAACAGAGACGTTCTTGGAGATGAAGGCAGTGTCGGAGCGCGTGGAATGGAGCGTTGGAAGGCGAGCAGCTGATGGTTGTTGATGGAGCAGGCGCAGCAGGGTGCGGCGGCGTCGAGCTGGGCGCGTGTCGGGGCCACGGGTCAGATGGGCGAGGGCGAGGGCGAGGGCGAGGGCGA